TTCTTTATTTATGATCTGACCCGTAGCTCTACCATAAGTCTCCAGAATATCTTGAATTGTTTCACATTGTGAGACCTCAGCTTTGCAGACAAATAAGGTATCATCTGCAAACAAAAGATGGTGAATAGACGGGCCCTGAGGAGAAAACTGCAAGCCGTTTATTTTACCTTCCAGCTCAGCTTTATTTAACAAATGTGTTAACCCTTCAGTACATAGAACAAAGAGAAAGGGGGATAAGGGATCTCCTTGTCTCAGACCCCTCTCCGGCACCACTAAGCCAAAAGGTTGACCATTGATCAAAACCGTGTAGGAAACTGTAGTGACACAAATCATCACTAAATCCACCCATTTAGCATTAAACCCCAGAGCAGAGAGTAAAGACCTTAGGTAGCTCCATTCAACACGATCAAAAGCCTTGGACATGTCGGTCTTTACTGCCATGAAAGCCTTAGAAGTATCCAGATGAGTTCTAAGACCATGGACCACTTCGTGCGCAATTAAAATATTGTCAGAGATAAGTCTCTCCTCTACAAAGGCAGACTGATTTGGAGAGACTATATCACCAAGAAACGGTTTAAGTCTGGAGACCAATATTTTGGAAATGATCTTGTACATCACTGAGCAAAGACTAATCGGTCTTAAATCCACCATAACAGAAGCGTTTTCTTTCTTAGGGATAAGGCATAACTGAGTTAAATTCCATTCCTTCTGGAAAACTCCATCCCTAAAAAAACCAAGAACCTCCTCTGTGATCTGACCACCAATAATATCCCAGTAATGTTGGAAGAAAACACCTGTCATTCCATCCGAACCAGGAGCACTAGAAGGTTTAATTGAGAAAACAGCAGCTCTTACCTCCTCTTTAGTGACCTCAGCACAAAGGGAATCATTCATCGCAGGTGAAACCCTAGGGACGAAATCTTGAAAGAACTGCAGATCATCCTCAACAGGATATGAAGACGAGAACAAGTGCTGAAAGTATTTAGCTGCCACATCGCCTTTAGAAGCTTCAGAACAGTGAGTTGCACCTTCTTCATCAATAAGTTTCTCTAAACCATTCTTGTTTCTCTCTGCCTTAACTGAAGCATGGAAAAACTTTGTGTTTTTGTCTCCTGAGTTAGCCCATTTCTGTCTGGATTTTTGAGACCAGAAACTCTCTTCTTCTCTATGAGCTGAGACCATGTCTCTCTTAAGAATCGCCATCCTGGAGAAAGAAGGGAATAATTATTTTCTTTCTTTGTCTGAAATAAGTTAATTCATTAATTTTTAGGAAATAATTAAGTTTGGATTTGGGCTATATCGTTTTTAGTTTTGGGCTTTCAAACCCAATTATCACGACTCTTCTACTTACTTGTTCGTATCTTGAATGGAACCCATTTAGGGTTTTCCGGAGTATCTTGTGGGAAACACACTATTTAGGGTTTTCGAGAGGAGAGAAAGAAACAGAGAGAAAAAAAAAGAAAATGGCGGCGAATGGAGGAGCTACGGCGGCTGGTCAGCTCTCAGAGAAAGAAGTTGATATCCAGATGATGTTATCAGCCGATGTTCACCTTGGTACCAAAAATTGCAATTATCAGATGGAGCGTTATGTCTTCAAAAGACGCAACGACGGTAAAACTCTCATCTTCATCCAAATCTCATTGTATATATAGACGCAACGATTCCACATTCATATACTCGTAGATTTCGAATGATAGTTTCTCCAGTTTCCATAGTTTTGGGTAGTCATCTGTAATTCTCTGTTTTAAGAGTTCTGTTACGTTTTTGAGTGTTTTGGCTCTCTTTTTTTGGCTTATGAAGTTTCGATTTTTTTATTGGTCAGGTATTTACATTATCAATCTTGGAAAGACATGGGATAAGCTTCAGATGGCTGCTAGGGTTATTGTAGCAATCGAAAACCCAAAAGACATAATTGTTCAATCAGCTAGGCCTTATGGGCAAAGAGCTGTCTTGAAGTTTGCTCAGTACACTGGTGCTAATGCAATTGCTGGAAGACACACTCCTGGTACCTTCACTAACCAAATGCAGACTTCTTTCAGTGAGCCAAGGTTGTTGATTCTCACCGATCCAAGAACCGACCATCAGGTATAATGAATTGGTTTTACCTCAGTTCTTAACAACTGTGTAGGTTTTTCTGATGCTGTTTTGGTTTGTGTTACCAGCCAATTAAGGAAGGTGCGTTGGGAAACATTCCGACTATCGCCTTCTGTGACACGGATTCTCCAATGGGATTTGTCGACATTGGTATTCCTGCTAACAACAAGGGAAAACACAGCATTGGTTGCTTGTTCTGGCTTTTGGCTCGTATGGTTCTCCAAATGCGTGGAACCATTCTCCGAGCTCAGAAATGGGATGTCATGGTAAAGTCTAGAAACACTTATCTTCTTAAAACACTCTCATTGTGTATTAATGTTTCTCCAACACCAAACAAAGATGTTGACTAGTTTGTGTTGTGTAGGTGGATCTGTTTTTCTACAGGGAGCCCGAAGAAGCAAAGGAAGAAGATGATGAAGAATATGGGCTGCCTGCTCCAGAATATGGAATGGTTGGTGGTGACCAGTGGACCACTGCTCAAATCCCTGATGCTGCATGGCCTGGTGAACTCGAACAGCCGATTTCTGCTGCCCCTGCAGTTGGCGGTTAGTTTCTTGTCATCATATTATTGTCTCTCGGAATCTAAACACCAAATGTTCTAATGTGTTTGCTGTTTTTTTTTTGCAGCTGCTGCTGGATGGGATACTGCGGTTCCACCCCCAGCTTCTGTTCCAGCTGCTGGTTGGGAGTAAAAGTTCCCTTCATTTTAGTCTAGCTCGAATTCGGTTAAGATATAGACTTGATTTTTCGTTCTTTTTGAGATTTGGGGAGAGGATTAGGACCATATTAGTTTGTTTTACTTTTCTTGCTTCTTGTCTCTTGAGAATTGAGACCATTAGCATTAGGTGCATTTTTGCCGGTATTTCCAAGTTTCAACCATATAAGGGTATTTCATCTTTAATTATTTCATTGAATTGACCATGAGTTTCTATTAAAGTTAAATTTTTTCATTGATCTTGCAAAAAAATTCTGAATGTATGAATATTATGCATACAGACTATAGAATCTCCTGTATGAAATCGCTCACGAAAACTCTCACGAGAACAATGAATCGAAATTTAAAGATCTAATGTTAATCAGCTTTAGTAGCAAAAATAATTAGGCAATTAAAAGTTTCGAATTAACCCCATAATCTAAAACTAATGAAATTAGGAAAGCTAATCATTCACTTTTCTCGAAGAAATCAAATTACTTATCATACTTTGATGGATTTACATGTGATTGGGTAATAGAGGATTGGTTGGCTAAGCAAACGACAACATTATAATAACAAAAAAAGTGGAATATAATTAAATTTTAACTTTGTTAGCCGAAAGTGAAACGGTATCTAAGTATGCGTGTTATGGACTCAGTCTAACCATTAAATAATTGAACTGTGTTACAAAATTTCTAACCAAAAGATTTTGAATAAAATATGATTTTCATCATCACACTTTTGCAGTCTTACAGTTCATGGTTCACATGCTAACACCATCCTTAAAGATTAACTAGTCTAGTTAGGACTATCCATAAAAAATTAATGGAAGAAGAAAACTTTATATAGGGTTATTATTAATAATAATGTTCTTTTGGAGAGTGATATATTAACACTTTCGCTATAAAGAAACCCTAAAGCAACAGTTTTTTGTCCTCTCTTTAGTAGAACTGCAAGAAGGTTGACAGTTCGAGCTAATCTATGTTACGCATTGATGAAATCATGAAACTTCGATCAATTTTTTTCTTAGAGTATTTTGAAGACATATCTCGTTTGGTATTATGTTATGTTATAGTAAAATTGTGACAGTTTAGCATAAAAAATCCCCATTTAGTGACGTATAACTGTTACCAAAGAAATCTTTATATAAAAAGAAAAAGAAGCTATTAGCAAAAAATTACAGAATAAGTCATGCAACGATGACGATCCTCTTGTTACATGTGACTTGAAGCTATTAAATAACAATGTTTGGTTCTTCGATGATGTTTGCATGTGACTTGTAACTTAAGAGATCCGTGTCAACATGGTGCATGAATATATAATAACCTTGGATGATAAAAAAATCTTCTGTCTAATTTGCACCTTCTAATACTAGTATATACTAGAGAATGGTGTTGTTTGTGTCAGCATGCGTTGTCTTTAGGCGTGACAATATTCAATTTGTATCTTCTTTTATCTGTAATTAATAACGGGACCACAAGTTCATGTTCTCACTTTTTCAACTCCCCAAATGCTTTCTTTGTTAAACATAGTACTAAAAACTAACGGTTTATACTAAATCGTTTCCAAAATGTAAATACTATGTTGATGTTTTCAATTCAAAATTCAAACCAAAGTTCTCTAAATAAGGTTAGAAATTCTACAATGTTATTGGTGGAAATATATAGTATTATTTAAATGTATGTTGAGTATTTTATTTTCTTTTTTACCATGGGTGAGAAAGTGAAGACATCTATAATGAAATGGAAAAAAATATAATTTATAAAGTAGATGTAATTGGTTGTATTGGTTAACAACCTAACATATATAAATGTGGAATCATGACCAATTAAGCTTTCTCCTTTTTCCTTAAACTCATTATTTTGTTCAAGATGAAAAATAAGATTACAGACACGTGTATCCTAATAATTGTGCCTTAATCTTCTGAGGAACACAGAAAGTGTTAATTAATTAAAGAGCTTAAAATTCACATAAGACTGACTTAGTAAACAGAACTGCAGTTTAAGAAAAGTATCATGTATTATAATGATTTGATCAGTCACAAATCAATCTCTTAGCTAGGCTTCTTCATACTCTATATATCATTCTTCTCTCTCTCTCTCACTACTCACACGAGAAACAAGAAGCTAACACAAAGCACACAAATACCCAAATCCATGTGTATATGCAAGTAAATATATATAGTCGTATTCATATATGTATGTATACCATGTACCAGTAGCAGTTAAGCTGCCAGCATGATCTTGTCTTCCTCTCTAGCTTGTTCTTATATATAAGATTATATGATCATAGCTTAGAGAGAGAGACTAGGTCATGCTGGTAGTTTCACCTGCTAATGATTGTAGCATGAAGAAGAAGAAGAAGAAGAACAAGAACAACAAGAAGACATACGGTATACTCCTTATAATCCTTCCGATTCAGAAGGAGGATCTCATGCAAACAATAGAGATTATTTAAGCAGGTAACTTTTGTTTATTGGTTTTCTTTTAATTTGTTTATTTTATATCTCTTTGTCTTTGAACATTAAAATTCTTTTCATTAATTGATGTGTAACTTGTGTTAATGTTACAATCATGAATTCAAATTAGAAATGTAAGCTAGGATATAACCAAAGTTATTTGGTTAAGATTAAGAAACTTATGAATGTGATAAGATTTATAAGTGTGATCCAATCATTAAGTTTTAAAACGAAATCATATTATAAATCATACTAGTTGGTTACAACTTACAAGTTACAAATGGACAGAGAGAGCTTGAATTATATTACCAAAGATATTTTTAATCTTCTATGTTTTAAACGACATTAGACTCAAATGGAGATTCTCTTTTTCTTTTTCTTTTTTGATTCAAGAGAGTATCTTTTTTTTTTTTTGGACAAACGTTTCAAGAGAGTAGTAAATCTAAAGCCCAAAATTGTATCGACCAAACGTCGTCGTTTAGTCTCAACGTAATGTTTTGACTTTTTTGACTTTGGAAGACAAACGTCACTGAAGTACGAAAGTACAAAATTGGATTTTGGGACTCTATCCTGTAATATCCTATCCTCACAAAAATTATTTAAGGATTGCATTGAGATTACAACAAAACGAGTGGTGTTGCTCTGTTCTGCTCTTCCCACTCCTCTCTACTCCAAAAATCCTAACTTTTCGCGTTATCTTTTCTCTTTTCCGTTTCGATTCTTTGTCTGAATTTCACAATTCCACTCTCTGTTTTTGTCCACAACACTATCCTCCATGAAAAATCGAAACTTTATCTAGAAAATGACTCCATTCTCCTCTGAACTCGTTGGTTTCACTATCCCTTTCTACTCCAAAACTCAGAAACACTATTCAAATTCTTCTCACAGACTATCTCACAATCGAAGCTGCCTCTTAACCTTCTCAAACTCTAACCCTAACCACGACAATGGTAAATCCTTTTCATCTTCAGGAGCAATAAACCTTCAAGCGGCAACAACAGACACAACAGTTCCCACGGAACGAAGACAACAACAAACCCATTCACAATCTCTCGGATTTAGAGATACCCAGATGCTTAAAGTCTTCCATCGATCATGCCGTTCAGGAAATTACATCGAGTCTCTACACTTACTCGAGACCATGGTACGTAAAGGTTACAATCCTGATGTGATTCTCTGCACTAAGCTCATTAAAGGGTTCTTCACTCTAAGAAACGTCCCAAAAGCTGTTAGGGTTATGGAGATTCTCGAGAAATTCGGACAGCCTGATGTTTTTGCTTACAACGCTTTGATTAATGGGTTTTGTAAGATGAATCGGATCGATGATGCTACGAGAGTTCTTGATAGGATGAGAAGTAAAGATTTTTCACCAGATACTGTTACTTACAACATAATGATTGGTAGTTTGTGTAGCAGAGGTAAACTTGATCTTGCTTTGAAGGTTTTAGATCAGTTGTTAAGTGATAATTGCCAACCTACTGTGATTACTTACACGATTTTGATCGAAGCTACGATGCTTGAAGGTGGAGTTGATGAGGCATTGAAGCTTTTGGATGAGATGTTGTCTAGAGGGTTGAAACCTGATATGTTTACTTATAACACAATCATTAGAGGAATGTGTAAAGAAGGGATGGTGGATCGCGCGTTTGAGATGATTCGGAATTTAGAATTGAGAGGTTGTGAGCCTGATGTGATCTCTTATAACATCTTGCTTCGTGCTCTTCTGAATCAAGGGAAATGGGAAGAAGGAGAGAAGTTAATGACTAAGATGTTTTCAGAGAAGTGTGATCCTAATGTTGTTACTTATAGCATTTTGATTACTACTCTATGTCGCGATGGAAAGATTGAAGAAGCGATGAATCTGCTTAAGCTTATGAAGGAAAAAGGGTTAACGCCTGATGCTTATAGCTATGATCCTTTGATAGCTGCGTTTTGTAGAGAAGGTAGGTTAGATGTAGCTATTGAGTTCTTGGAAACTATGATCTCGGACGGATGTTTACCGGACATAGTTAACTACAACACGGTTTTAGCTACGTTGTGCAAGAACGGGAAAGCGGATCAAGCGTTGGAGATCTTCGGGAAACTAGGAGAAGTGGGCTGCTCACCGAACTCGAGTTCTTACAACACGATGTTCAGTGCCTTATGGAGCAGCGGGGATAAAATCAGGGCGTTACATATGATATTAGAGATGGTGAGTAACGGGATAGATCCAGATGAGATCACATATAACTCGATGATATCGTGTCTATGCAGAGAAGGTATGGTGGATGAAGCTTTTGAGTTATTGGTTGACATGAGAAGCTGTGAGTTTCATCCATCGGTTGTTACATACAATATTGTTCTTTTGGGATTCTGCAAAGCTCATAGGATCGAGGACGCAATCGATGTTTTGGATTCAATGGTGGGAAATGGATGTAAGCCTAACGAAACTACTTATACTGTGCTCATTGAAGGCATTGGATTTGCTGGATACAGAGCAGAAGCAATGGAGTTAGCAAATGATTTGGTTCGAATCAATGCCATTTCTGAGTACTCGTTCAAGAGATTGCATAGGACTTTCCCTTTACTTAATGTTTTACAGAGATCTTCTCAGACAATTGGTCATTAAGTGAAAGTCGAGAAAAAACACATTATGTTATTGTTTTTGATGTGTGTGTGATGAATCAGAAGCAGACCATAACCTATTGTTGTAAATTAGCGTCTAACTAATTCTGAAAATATTTTTTTAAAAAATAATAATAATTACACTTGAATTGTTAACCTATAATAGCAAATTGTGGTTTTCAAAAAGAAACAAATATTGCTCTGTATTTAGTTGGTATAAATTAATATATTCAGAAAGTCAGAAATCTCAAGAGATTGCATAGGATTTTTTTACTTATTAGGTGCAGTGAAATTGAAAAAGAAAATGACATAAATTGTTGGTAATGTCAATGTCATCTTTTCATGGCTTAACCAATGAATTTTGTTTTGGCATTGTACATATTCCACCAATAATCCATCATGGCCCCAGTCAATTTCCTAATAGTGTATTTAGGAAGTTTAAAACAAACCATTGCATAAACCAGGAGAGCTAAAGCCACTGACTTCAATAAAACTTCTTTGCCTCCTTGAACCATTGTCGAAAGAAAGAAAATGGATTATAGAAATATACAAAGAGTTCAAAATGGAGAGCTAGCGAGGACAGAATTGTGAACCGTGGTGGCAGTGTTGGCAATGGAAGTGTTGAAGGGAGGGTGGATTTCCCCAATAGCATCCATCACCTTCACCGATGGAGTTGCTATGAAATTCACGAGTCCCTTTCTGGCGATCTCTGAGGGATTCTCAGGGATATCAGAGAAAGAAATTTGTTCTCTGCTCTTATATATAGTCGGCTCTTGGAGAGCTAGTTACCACATTGAACATCCAGAAAAGAAATAACAAATCACCCTCAAACTTCTCACCATCCCTCAAATTTCTCAAAATGGAAGGAGGTAAACAGCATATATAAGTTATAACCTTATATGTTTGAGTATAACTTAAGATGAGAAGCAAAACATAGCTGAATTTCCCATTCGTCTACTTTTGTATTAGTTATAACTTATATGATATAAATATAGATATATTAAATATTTTCTAAGACATCAAATGAATTTTTTTAATGAATTAATGATAAATTATTTTTGACTACAACTCTATCAATACATTATAATTATTAAAAAATGAATTATGATTAAAAAAACATATTAAGAAAATAATAAGCAATATTTAAGCAATATATAAACAAAAAATAAGAAACAGATGAAAGAATAATACAAATGCAAATTACTTAAATTTACGAATGACGTTAATTTGTATATTTTTTTGCAACAACTTTAATAAATATTGTTTAAAAGAGCCATTCATGTGGACAATTTTATTTGTATATATAAATCATTAAAATGTTTGAAATTAACTTTGTAAGTTTCTTTTTATACTAAAAGGTTGTGTTATTGTATAATATTTATATATATCATTATTTTAATTTAAATTTTTTTAGTTTATCTACAAAATTTAGTTTTGACATCTAAGGATTTAATATAAAAACTTTGAATTCTTTTTACAATCGTTCTTTTCTAAATTTAAATAATATAAAATTTACATGTGCATGACACGAGTTCGTACCTAATTGTTTAGTTAAATAGCTATCATCAAAAAATAAAAATAAATAAATAACTAATATCTAAACGAAAAATAGTGCAAGATAAAACTATCATCTAAACGAAAAATAAATAACTATTACATAGATTGCTTCACGCGCTTTGGTCATTCCAGTCATCGAATTTAGGCAAAAAGTGCGTAAATCTGTGGTCTATATAGTCCACGAAATATGGAGACACGCGCTATACGCGCTTATAGTGCGCGTGAGTATCATAGCACCCGTATATGGGTTTAACGCGCGGACCTTTTAGTCAAACTTATGAATAGTCCATATTAATCGGGCTTTTAATGGGCCAGTTGATATATCGATGCGGCCTAAATTAATTTTTAATTAAGAACATTTTTTTTCTTGGTGAGAATTTTTAATTAAGAACATAATTACATAACTACGTGTCTTTTTTGTTTTAAAAAAAAAAAATTTAATTATCAAAAAATAGTAGTATGTGCTTTGTGTTGTTGCGGCGAGGAATTCGATTGTTTGGCACAGAATGTGGGAGCAAGACTACAACATGGGATCCTGTTCAATCACTTCAGCTGAATCATCAGTCTCTTGTCTTGCTCGAGAAATGCAGTTCCAGGAATCAATTCAAGCAGGTTTTGGCACAGATCATGCGTTTCAATCTCATCGGCGTTATGTTTCCCATGAGCCGTCTTATCTTCTTCTCGGCGATCACATACCCAGAGAATCTCGACCTGGCGAAGC